TTCTACTAAATTTCAGCTAGTCATGGTATGATAGATGTAGATGAAGCAATAAGTGTACAATGAATACTTTTAATATAGAAATATTATCTAACTGATAATGGACACTGTGAATTTAACTATAGGTGAGGAAAAAATTTGGAAATGAATCAATCTGCTTAATTTTATAGATGTACAGACAAGGTAGTGAGGAATTGTAGGCTTGTTCGAGGCAGTTTGTGAACTAGATTTTAGGTTCAGGTTCAGGCCATAGTCTATTAAGACAGTGGTTCATACCTAGGGAGAAACATTAGATCACAAGTGATTCCCATCCCCCTTGGCAAGTACACATGTAGAGATACAGGTACTTATCTCTGTGTGTTTGTGTGTGTGCTGCCCACATGCATGTTTATATAAATTTTTCCCACATGCACCTTTCCTGCACCCCCTACCCAGGACATAGAAAATGGTAACTCAAATATATTTGTAATAAACTTAAGGGGAATTCTGATGTACTTTATTAGTTAAGAACTACTGTATGAACCTTGCATGAAAAGCTTTTACCTTATTTATTTCTTTTGAAAATGGCAGTTATATTAAGTATTTTGATAGAATAAACCTATGGATATAAATTTGAAGTTTTAGAAAGTTTAAAAGTGGGAAATATTAAAATTAATGCCTATAAATTTTTGCCATCTGTTTTTTAGAACTACACCTTTAATGTCAATGAGCTTAATAATATAAAAACATTTAACTTGATTTGTGTATAGAAGTATCATGCTGTTAAATTTAGAGACTGATTACAGAATCAGCTTGAGGAGGATGGGGAAAATGCTAGAATTTTCCTTGCAAACAGTTTTCTCTTACCTATGAAAAAATACCAGTCAAGGGCGGAGGATTTGGCTCAGTGGTTCCTTCCACTGCCTGCTTCGCAAGCACAAGGGCCTGAGTTTGATCCCCAGTGCCCCCAAAATAAATAAATAAATAAGTAAATAAAAATACCAAGCAAATGATAGTCTAGATCTAGAAAATTATTATAAAATTTTATTTACCTTTAAAAATGAGTGGTAATACTTAAAAGAAATAGCCATAGTTTGTTTTTTCTCTAGACCCTGATGTTGCTTCTCTTCCCTTCTCTACTATAAAATCCTCTTAGGAAAATGCTCAAAATCTTTTTCAGTGAGAGCTCCAGGCAGCTACTATTCATTGATAGAACTGAAACTCAGTGGTATATTAGGTTGGTACTGCTGCTTCAGGCAAAATTCAGTGTTTTTTGTCAGTTTTATTGAAGGGGTGTTCCTATGCCTAAGTGGACTCTTCTTTTGGATATTGAAAATAATTGTTTTTTTTTTAAACATGAATTAAACAGATGATAATTCACAGAAACCCATTCCTAACAAAACAAACAAAAGGCGGTTTAGCCATACTGCTGGAATTAGGGCATTGTTTTAGACAGGGGATGACAGACCACACAACTTATGGGCCAAATGAAGCCGGTGGCTAGGAATGATTTTACATTTTTAAACGATTGAAAAAAAACTAAAAAAAATAATATTTTGTGAGATGTGAAAATTATATAAAATTTAGTTTTTAGTGTCCATAAATAAAGTTTTATTGGAATACAACCATGTTCATTCATTTACTGTCTATGGATGCTTTTGTGCTTCATGAGCAGAGTTGAGTAGTTGCGACAGACCATATGGCCCACAAAGCCTAAAATACTTACTGTCTGGACCTCCACAGAAAAAGTTTGTCATGCCTTTTTAAGATAACTGTGTGGGACATAAATGATTGCTTTGGAGTTTTTTGGTAAAGGAGGAAACTTAGTTTGCTCATATTTTGAACAAGTTTCTGAAAGGAATAATTTAGAAATGGCTATTGTTTGTGTGCAGATAAGTAAGAGCAGCACTTTCTTTCATAGATTATAGTTGATGTAGTGACAGCATAGTTTGCAGTTCATGCTGTTTCTTCCTTCATTGAGGGGAGTCCATGGCACCATTACTGTCCATGGATACCAGCAATTTAATAATTATGTCTTTCTGATAGTACATAATAGAGCAGCTATTCTTACATTTTTTGGTCTTAGTACTTCTTTAGGCTCTTAGAAATTAAGAGAAAGAGCTTTTTAAAAATGTTGACTATATACACTAATATTTTTCATATTAGAAATACATATGGGAAATCTTAAAATATTAATTTGTTTAAAATATAAATTATTCATTCTATGTTAGCAAGACATCTTTATGAAAAATATTTTTTCAAATAAAAAATGAATTAGTGAAATTTTTACAGATTTCTTCCATGATTGTTTTACTAGAAAACAACTGAATTCTCCTATTTCTTCATTCGGTTTGTTGTGATATACTATTTTGATTGAAGTATATGAAGCAATCTGGCTATTTGTGGATATATATTATAGTTAGAAAAAAGGTAATACTTTACTATGTAACTTTAGATGTTTATGGGTGTTTTTCTTTAATACCATAACAATTCAAAAGGTGGTACTTTCTGTTTTTAAGTCAGAATTATTAAAGTATAATTTATATAGAATAAAGTATATCATTAGCAGTACACAGTTCTGATTTTTAATTGGTATTTATGACCCATATATACTGGTCATTTAACACCATCATAATCGAGGCATGGAACATTTTTATCATCCTATGTCCTCTTTTCTTAAGGTTTGTTTTGTTTTGTTTTGAAACAGGGTCTCACTATGAGCCCTCCTGCCTCAGCATCCCAAGTTCTGAGATTACAGGCATGCACCAACATGCATGACCCTATGTCCTTTTATAATCACTCCCACCTCTGACACCTTTTATCTGATAATTTTGCCTTTTCTAAAATATTCTGTAAGTGGGACCATATAGTAATAGCCTTTTGAGTCTCTCTCTCTCTCTCTCTCTCTCTCTTTTTTTTTTTAACTTAGATTGTAATATGTTTGAGATTCATCCATGTTGATACAGCTGTCAGTAGTTCTTTCCTTGAAATGTTTGATTATCTGTTAATCAGTGGTGGACAGTGAGTTGTTTTTAGTTTTAGGAATTATAATTAAAGTCTGAACAGTCACATACAGATTTTTGTGTGGAGATATGTTTTTATTTTTAGGTGAATACCGAAACGTGTGATTCCTGGGTGTATGTTTAAGCATAAGAAGCTGTAAAATTGTTTCCCACAGTGGCTGGACAGTTTTGCATTTCCACACAAATGTCCCAGTTGCTCACATATTTAGCAATAGCAATACTTGCCATTATCAACTGGGTTTTGTTTTTTTTTTTTTTTTGGTTTTAGCTATTGTAATTGATATTTCACTGTAGTTTTAGTTTTCTTCTCCCTAATGATTGATGATTTTGACTAACTGTTCATGTAGAATTTTTCTACTCTAATCTTTTCTTTGGCAAAGCATCTAATTGACTGTTTTGCCCATGTAAAAAATTTGACAGGCCGTTTTCTTATTATTGAATTGTGAGAGATCTTTTTATATTCTGAATATCAGCCTTCTTTTTTGTGTGTTTGAAACAATATCTCTCAAGTCCTCAAATTCCTGGACTCAAGAGATCCTCCTGCCTTGGCCTTCCCCGTACTTGGGGGCTACAGGGCAACATACTCTGCTTCAGCCCTTTTTTGGAAATGTGTTTTGTAAGCATTTTCTTCTGTTTTGTGCTCACCTCCCCACAGCTGTCAGAGTAAAAGTTTTACTTCAGTGAGGTTCAATGTAATCTTTTCTTTCTTTTGTAGTTCATGTGTTTTGTGTTCTAAGAAATCTTGCCTAATTCAAGGTCAAAATGATTTTTTTCATGTTTTCTTTTGGAAGTTTTAATAGTTTTGGGTTATATTTTTGGGTCTATGGTATGTTGAGAATTAATTTTGTTGAAGTTCAGTTTTTGTGTTTTTTCGCACGTGACTACTGGTTGTTCAGGATCATCACCTGCCTTCTTTAGTGAATTGCTTTGATCTTTGCTGTACATCACTTGACCATATAATGTGTAGGTCTATCTGGATTTTCTGTTTTATCTCAATGATGTATGTGTCTGTATTTTTTTTGTTGTTAAAAAAAAATGCTATTTTTGTAGCTGAGGTTCTGTGGTCAGAAAAATCAAGAAATATGAGCTCTTGTTTGTACCTCCTTTTTAGAGTTATTTTGGGTGTTCTGACTAACTTTGCTTTTCCAAGACTAGAGATAATTTCTTATTACCTCTAGGTAATTTAAGATAATTTCTTAAAACTTATTGCAATGTTGAATTTGATATTATTAATGAACTTTTTGTCCTTTACATTAAAATTTATCTGTCTTGTACATTGAACAGATATTTTTAACCACTTGTAATGTCACACAAAATTCATTTAGAAAATACTGATTCTATGAATTGTATAGACTTCCTAAATATTGGCATATTTCATTATTCAGTAAAGGTCTCTTTGAATAGTGGGAAGATAGCATGCTAATAGCAGTAGCTATGAGATTTTCTAAAATTCTTATTTTTGCCTGAAAACTCAAATTTCATCATTGGCAGTATATATTGTCAGTTGCTTTCTTAAGCTAACAGGTTCATTTAGTTTACTTTTGAGAACATGCCTGCCTGATACCCAAGTCTGAATAACCATGGTTTGTTTAGTCTACAGTTTGGCCATTCAAGAGCTTTTTCTTGAGGCAACCGTTAAACTTCATTATATAGCGGAATTGTTTGCTTAGTTCTTATTTTGTCATGCAGAGTATTGACAAAAAAAATCTATTCAAGGGTTGAAATTTCATAAAAGTTAACAATTGCTGCCGCTTTCATCCAGGATGTTCTTCAATGAAGTGAAACAGGCATTGTTTAGAAAAATCTTTAAGATATATGTAGACACTTCAGATTATTGTGGTTATTTTCCAGAGACTAACCTGGAAACACAAACCCAAAGTTAAAACACTGGGAAGACAGTAAATTGTTTACATTTTAGTAACACTTAAAGTTGGCATGTTAGGAGACAATCTTTTAAGAGCTAATAAAGTTACATTAAATTGTTGTTTTATTATCTTATAGGTGCTATACTTGGTAGATCAGAAACTCAGGAGTGTCTTTTCTTTAATGCTAATTGGGAAAGAGACAGAACCAATCAAACTGGTGTGGAACCCTGTTATGGTGACAAAGATAAACGGCGACATTGTTTTGCTACCTGGAAGAATATTTCTGGTTCCATTGAAATAGTGAAACAAGGTTGTTGGCTGGATGATATCAACTGCTATGACAGGTGAGGACATATTTTATTTTTTATGATAGTATTGAGTAATTTTCCTCTCTTTTTTTTTTTTTTTAGAAAAAAACCAATGCATAGATTCTCACATAAATGTTTCTAAAGCTTAATTGTAGCATTTTATTTCCTTTCAGTTTCCTTCTTTGTGTACCTGGAAGAAATTGATCTCATTACTTTTTTCCCTTTTTTTTCTTGCGAAGTAAGCCTTTGTTCTTTGTACTAAGAGACATTTTAACTTGACATTCAGAATACATGAGAACTAACATAATCCTTATAGAAAGCTATGTTTTATTTAAAAGATCTTGCTTCAGTTGTTCTGCACTGGAAATAAAATACAGTAGTCATGTTATTGACAGCCTGCGATCTGTCTGTAAGAAGTCCCATAGATGTTGGGTTGATCACCTAATTTTCCTGGGCTGTAGGATTTCCACTGCTGGTGAGTAGTAAATGCTGTCACAGGTAGCAGAGTCGTAGGTACTCGAATATTCAGGAGTCAGTCAAAAAGTGAGACTACATGCAGTGAATACTAGATCTACTTCTTTAGGAGCCACAAATGATTACCTGGAGTCTGTGATTGGTTAGCTATATATGACTAATAGCAACATACATTGAATAAGCCCTAAAAATTGAATTAGCTCTACTTTTCAGTGAGAAAAGTCATTTAGATATACATTTATATCTGGGGATTTTTTTTTTTTTTTTTTTTTT